AAACCCTAAGAATAGTATTAATAGTAAGAATTTTAAAAGCAATAGTAATAATATTCATAGTAGTAATAACAGCAGTAATACCAATAGTAGTAATAAGAATGATAGCTTCGAATCTCCCGAACCCAGCCTCGCAGTCTTAACGGATGGGCAAATTCTACTGAGCTCCAAAAAGCCCACGGCCAGTTGGGGGGGTTCCCAAGATTATATTTGGGTTATTTTGGGATAATGGAAAAGAAAATGGAAATTACTATTTAGGGTTTGGGGGGTCAGGGTATAGCCCCCGCTAAGTAGATAGAATATGGCTTTGGGTAGATCATGAACAGATCCCCAATGCCCCATATTCTATCTACTTCAACCAGAAGTCTCCAAATGTAGCCCAATGTATTTGTAGACGAGGGGCCCAGTGTAGGTAGTATGTATAGACTTAGATCCCTGGAACAGACGGTCCCAAATTTCATGATACAAACCCTAAACCCTGCACCCTAAACCCTAAACCCTGAACCCTGAACCCTAAACCCTGAACCCTGAAACCTAAACCCTAAACCCTGAACCCTAAACCGCAGAACCCAGGAAGAGCCTGGTAGCAGCCAGCTCCAGCCTGGAGCTCCTTGCGCGCTTTTGCGAAATATATGAATTCCTAGGCCCAAACTAAGAGCCTGTAAGGGTACCCCTAGGGTTTAGGGTTTAGGGTGACATAAACCTTTAAGGGTACCCTGCTGTTGTTTTTCATTCTTTGGCGTGGGCTAGATTTAGATGCGGCTTGTCAGGTACCAGTCGCAGCTGAAGCCTACTAAAAGAACTGAACCTATGTAGGGAGGTTGTTTCAAGAAAGTACCGGACGGTTGGTATGCCTAGGATGTCGCAGTTTGTGTTCTGCAGCGTTTTTAATCTCGAAGCTAAAGCTTTGTTGTTAGATATTTGGTGTATTCTCTTGTATTTTCCTCCTGGCGTCGAAGCTTTGATCTCTATAATCCCTGGAGAGCCCTTACCCCTGGCAGCCCCTTAGCCCCTCCTTGGAAAGAGGGTTTAGAGTTTAGGGTCTAGAGATTATAGGCCCCCTTAAGTAGATAGAATATGGCTTTGGGCATATTATACTAAGATCCCTATATACCCCATATTCTATGTACTTAAGTGGGACTATATCTACTCGGGATTCCCGGGGTCCCGCCGAATTTCCGGAGGGTTCTGGCAGGGAATACGGGGGGGAGGGGGGGGTTGGGCTGGACGTTCCTGGACATCAGGAGAAAGTGAGGCATAATTCCGGCTATCCCTCAAAGATTAGGGCTTCACCTGCTACACCCCGCATACGGCTCCCCAAGGCACCCGTACTTAACTTGAAATCGTCTTAAAATGACATGAATGAGTGGAGCACATAGGGGCTGGTGGTACAGAGGAGGGTATTCTTTCTGTGAGAGCCCACATCTGAAACCCCAGGCCCTAGTAGATCCTAAACCCTAAGCTCTAAACCCTAAACCCCACCCAAAAAAAAAACACCTTAAACCCAACAACCCCCTGAACCTTAAGCCCTATCATCCCAGGCTTGGCCGGATGAAGGGCCCGAGATCAACGCCTTCCTGTGCGCTGCCAGCATGGTTCTCATTGAGATCGATGAGGTGGGGGTTTAGGGTTTAGGGTTCAGGGTTTCGGGTTTAGGAGATAGGGTGCAGGACTTGGGGTTTAGGGTCATCCCTGATGCTTCCCCAGGAGCCCTAAATCCTTAACCGTTAACCCTAATCCCGCCATACTTATATGTCCCCAGGAACCCTAAACCCCAAATCCCTAAGCCCTAAACCCCTAGGCCATTGTTGAGAACCCCCCCCCCTAAGGTGGTGGAAACTTTCCTTGCTGCAGATGGCTCTGCCTCCCTTCAGCTAGCTCCAAGAGACTGGTGTCAATTTGAATATTACCATTACTGAGGCTTTATAGGGTGTAGGGTTTTGGGCTAAAGGGTTTAGGGTTTAGGGTTTATTACCATTACTTATGGTTTGGACGCGGATTTTTTATTTTGCAATTTTGAAATTTAGGAAATTTGGGTACATTTCGTAGTTGTAAGTTTATACTGGCCTGAGGGTTTAGGGTTTTGGGGCTTTATAGCGTTATAGAGGCGTTATGTAGGGATTATATAGGGGCTATATCGCGGAATAGAAGCAAAACTGAAAATGCTATGTTCTTCAGGGTTTTGCCGTTATCTAGGGGAATAGACGGTTTAGGGGCTCCATAGGGAAATGGAAAACAAAATGGTGACTACCATATTATCTAGGATGTAGGGGCCATATGGAGGAATTGAAAACATGGAAGCTGCCATATCATTTACGCTTTAGGGGTTATTTGGGGAATGGAAATGAAAAGGCAGAAGTCAGTATAATTTGCGAGGTTTGAAGCTCTGTCGCGCTTACGGTAACCTCTGTGCAAGCCCCATTCTTTGCACGTGGGCTGCATACGATATGAGTGTCCAGAAAATTCGGTCAGCATCCAAGAGTAACCCTAAACCCTAAACC